TGTGTGTGTGTGTGTCTGTGTCTGTGTATGTGTATTATTTTAGGCTGAAATTAATCCAATGGAGTAGGAAAATTTTTATTAATTTTGCTATGCACCAAAAAATGTTTCAATTGAAGCAACGAGAATTTCAGCGCTTCCTGAAAAGCATACATAACAACTGCTGCAATTATGACAATCAAATTTCTCTTTATGGCATTAATTTCGAAAAAAAAAACATTTAATGACATTCAAATTCTTACCAGTTATTCATTATTTTTTATACTGATGGACAGCAAAATTATTTATTTGCATTTAAATTCATGTAGAACTGAATTTTAAATCAATTGCATTCAATATTTTACTTCGTCTCATCTTTTTTATACTATTTTTCTTAAATATAATATATTTAAATTTCAAATATAATAACATATTTTCCAAAAATTATCATCCATAGATTGAATTAATTCCAAAATAAATTGAAATTAAACAGAGTAAGTAAAAAGTCAATGAAATCAAAGAAGCAATTCATGGGCCTTTCTGATTTCGGATATGTCCCGATATTAATTAGCATAGAGTAGAAGTGTTTGGAATGAACTTTCTTTCCTTTTTTATATCTCGTAATCTTCTATCATCCCAGCTGATATTCTCTTTTATAGCTTCGTAAAATTTCTTTTTTTTTTTTAAATGAATTTCACGAATTCTACCTGATATTGATGATTGAATTAAAGGTGCAAGAAGAAGTGGCGAATAGCAATATGGGGTAGAATTTGTGAAATTTGCAAAACATAGATGTTTTGCCGAGAATTGTCTTGCTGTAGTTATTCTACTTTTTACTGGAACCTTTTGCTTCTTACTGTAAGTCTTCTTCTTAAGATAATAATAAACAGTTGGAAACGAAAAGTTTGAGAATCATAATGCGCTCAACCATTTGTTGTGCTATTTATTGTTTATTCTTGGGTTTATTCAATGTAAGCTTCTTACAGTTCATTCTCTCATTCTACCATACAGTACCATATTTTGTCATCAATAAACTTATCATTCTTCCAGCGTTGTCAAATTTTGTTTGCTACGGGACATTTAATATTTTCGAATGGCAGCCATTTTCAGCTAATAAAATACAATCGCTAAATTTCCCGGTAAATTTTGTATCCTTGTTGGATATATATGTTGGATATTTGAAATTTCTCTTAAATGTTTGCCTTCGAAATATTATTAATTTGTCTATGAATGGTTTTTATGGGAAAAATTAAAATTTTTATGCATGATTATTATGAGTGCTGACAAACATTATTGGCTTTTAATAGTTGCTAGAAAAACTCTTAACTTTCTGCCAAATTAAAAAAGAGCTATTCGTATTCCCATTGCTACTAATAGTTTTAATTAGGAGCTCTACAAATTACCATTGATTTCAATTTTCTTTCTGTATTACAATTTAAAAATGTTACAATTCTCTAATTAATAGACACATATTTATTTATGTAAATTTCCACATTTATTACGTTGTTGATTCTACGCTTCTCGAATCTCACGAAAAAAAGTTTAACCTATATCAATAGTTAGTTGAAACTGATTAAAATATGATGGACGAAGAAATGTTGTGTTTTTGAACTGAAATCATCGAATGATATCAGAACAGGAATTGAAACAATGAGAATAGCAGGAACAACAATAAACATATACTTTAATTGAAATATATATCAGTCGTGTACATACAAATGATGAAATGAATCTTTTGCTGACTATCGATTTCAAAAAATTATCAAATGCTATAAATGAAAAATGTTTCAACATCAAAGATCAAAGAATTATGGAAAGAACAAAAAATGGTATCAGCAAAGAAGTAAGAAGAAAATTTTTATCGAGAAGTTATGAAAATCTTTCATCGATTGCTAAAAAAACGGAATTCACATCTCACAGTCTGCAAATTAGAAATGAGCGGTATCAATTTCCTTTTTTTTGGGATAAAATATCTTAATCATTTCACCTGATATGATAATAATTATTGGATCAACATTTTGTAATTACTCTCATTTCACATTTATTCACATGTTTACTTATTAGGATAAATGAAAATGATCGTAGAAATTTGCATACTTCCAATTTTTTTTAAAGAAAGAATGGACTATAATTTTATTTTTTTTTTGTTTAAGTCTTATTGTTACTTAAAAATAAAATGTTAAAACGAACAATCAATATTTATGGAAAAAATAGAAATTATATGAAGAAACTTTTCGATGATAAATTTTAATTTTCATTTCATTGTAAATATTTGCTTCACAACGAAAGCATAATTTGAACTATGCATAAAATGTAAAGGATAACTGGGCAAATCGAACGATGCAATTCGCGCTATTTTTGGCATTGTTGATAGCATCAAAATGAAATTGTACGAAATGAATTAGAATTCATAAAAATTCAAAAGTGCTAAGTTTCATACTTACATTCATTAGTGATAAAAGAAGTTTTTCAATTATGAATCAAAAATTGCATTTTATTTCCTCTCACGATTCCTTTGACATTTTCGTTTGATATAAAAGACCTCATTCAAGAACGATTTCATAAAATTTAACTTTTTTTTTGCTTATATTTTTTGAAAAATAACAACGTAGGGAAAATAATGGAAAAACAAATCATAACAGAACATAACCCGTAACAAGTTTTATAACAAATATACCGGTTATTGCTTCTCCGGTCTTCTTTTTCATCCCCGTACTCTCTTAAATACTGCGTCATCGAGATATTCATAGTCCTCATTGAGGTGGTCCATTATCATTGACATAATATTTTTTTTTTTACCTTTAACATTTATGCTGAAAATTATATTGTTATCATTTAAATTATTGCCATAAATCGGCAATGAAAAGCAATGAGAATTAAACAAACAATTTTCAATCGATTGTTAAATTTAAACTGTTAGCATACTTCATGTTGTAGAAAACAAGTTTAAAAACTTGTAAACACCAACAAATAAGATGATAGGTGCAAAACTTCAAAAAATTTTGGACATAATTTTAAATTATAAAATTTCAGGCCAACTATAGCGCCATCGTTTATGCCAATTGCTGGACAAATACCAATTGAATTTGGCAGACTAACAATTCCGCGCATTCCCTGTGGTTCACCCAAATCTCGCAAAGGTTACGGAAGTATCCGTGTGAAAGTACAAGACGAAAAACTGCAAGAAAAATCAATTGATAATAAAAATGAGAGGTTTAAATCTATTCGGATTTTCCATTGCGAGATAAGAGGGAGAGCTTAGATTTTAGGAAAAATAATTAAACTAATGTAAATTTGTAAATTTCCGAGTTAAAATATTCAAAACATTTAATACTGTTATTGATTGTAGCAAACTGAACTCAAACTTAAAAAAAATCAAATAGAAAATGAAATAAATCATTATTTTAGTTTGGATGACGGAATTACTAAGCCTAAAAGCTATAGCAATAGTAATAGCAACGGTTATGAAACAACATTTGACAAATTATCATTACTTACCACCAAAGAATGGATAACAATTTGTATGTTATCAATTGCAAATCTTAGCAGTACCAGTGCTTACAGCTGTATTGCACCCTTTTATTCAAATGAGGTCAGTTTATAAATTGTTTAAAGCTGACTGTGCTTAATTAAGTAGGATAATTGCGCTTTTAGATATTGAATGTTTATGCAAATATAACATGAAAAAGTCAATTCAAATAGTTCATTTCACTTGGCTTTGCCATAATTCTGCTTCTCCACAACTGCATTTAAAAAAACGAAAAAATAATGAATTACTGTGAAATAATTGATAAATAATAATTTCAGGCAAAAATTAAAGGTTTAAAAAGTTTCGAGATTGGTATAGTATTTGGCGTTTTCGAATTAGCAATGTGTTTTATTGCACCGCTATTCGGCAAATATGTTTGTTTAATTTGAAATTTTTTAATTTAAACTTGCTTTGCAAGAAATAAGTGTAGAGAGTTCAAAAAAAAAACCCGAATAATTCAGTCTTGCAGATAATAAAATATGTTAGATTTCCGGAAACTTTGAATATTCTGCTGCTAATCTGAAAGCATCAATTAGCAACTTAAAGGATTTAATGAACACTCTGCTTTAAGAAAGCTTTTTTTCCTTCACGAATTGAATAATGTAAAATATTTAGATGGTTTCAATTGGCTCAAAAAGGATGTTTGTTTCCGGAATCGGAATTACTGGTATAACTGTTATACTTTTTGGGTACGTCCTTTTATTACAAATATTTAAGAAATTGTAAAAATTGTGATTTAAATCATGCATGCTAACATTACTTTCAGATTTTTGAATTACATCGAATCGTCAGCTTTATTTTTCTGGTCCTCGATTGGCCTTCGAATATTGGAAGCCCTCGGTGATGCGGCTTTCGTCACATCGTCATTTGCAATTGGTATTAAATGTTTTCCAGGACGAATTGCAATTGTTGTTGTATGGATTTATTTCGAAATTATAAAAATTCTTAATGATATTTTAAATTTTCAAACATCAAAAAACCATAAATTTTGACAATTTATTATGCATTCTTGAACATTTCGAACAAATTCAATATATTCTGAACAGTAATCAAAAAATGCATTCCCTATTTTTCTTTTTTTACTTTTGATTTTCATTTATAACTGAATGATTAAAAAAAAAGTGACTGATAATTAAAGTCAAATACAAATACATAACTTTCTTTGCTCTTTGCTTTGCTCACTGCAATTTTTTCATCATTGATTCATAAATGATCAGATGGATTCAACAATCTCTGTCAATTTTTTTTTTTTTTTGTAACTCTCCATAGAAATTTTATCTAATAATTAAAAATGTTTAGGGCGTCCTGGAAACATTCGTAGGCCTAGGCAGTACAGCAGGCCCATTATTTGGTGGTATATTGTATGAAATTGGTGGTTTTCAATTACCATTTTTTGTATTAGGCATTATTCTAATCTTTGTTGGATTATTAGCATATTTTTTGGTCGAAAATGTGGATGGTATGGTTTTTTTCTTTTTACTACTTAATTAAAATATTTATTATTGAATTAAAGTTTTTGTTTATCTGTGAAAAATTTTCACTGTTAATAAATTAAAATATAATGGATGTAGTAATTTTTTACAATTTTATAGATAATGTAAAAATGGAGAGTAAAGGTATGTTAGGTATGTTGAAGATACCAGTACTATGGATTATGATTTGTGCAGTGATTATGTCCTCCATATCATTATCATTTCTCGATCCAACATTAGCAGATCATTTAGAATCGGTAAATCATTTCTTTCTAGCCATTTGTTTAAAACTCTATACAAATGATAAATGACAAATTTAGACATGCAAAAATTGAATATTTTTATCTTTGATCACTTTTATATTACATCCTTAAAAATTAAATTCTTATTAAAAATTCACTTTTTTGTGTCTATGATATTTAAATTCATCAGATTATGCCGCCAATTAACTTATCAATTTAAGTAGCATTTGTCCATTCATTGAATTTGATTGATTTCACTTATTTTTGACAACCTTTCTTTTTTTGATTATGAATGATCAATCGGGTTTTCTTTGAGTCGTCAATTTGCTGCTAATGAACTGAACAATCTTTGATGCATTATTGATCGTTAAAAATTCACACATCATTGCTTGATATGCTTTAGCTGAGTTTCTTTTGAAATAAGCAAATTAGTGGAAATTCAAAGTGGTCGTTACAGTTCAAACTTACACCATCCATTATTGGCTTAATGTTTTTATTGTCCGGTGGAATTTATACAATAACAGCACCTCTTTGGAGTATAATTATCGATAAATTTAACTGTGGCAAGACGATTATAATGTTTGGTTATGTGGCAGTAATGATTAGTATGATTATCATTGGACCATCACCTTTCTTGAATGTTGAAAAGTAAGCGTTAATTATAATTTTTATGAAATTTGGGCTTAGAGTGGATCAAATAGGGTTACATTTCTTTTATTTTGTTTGCATTTTCAGGACCAATATCAAATAATGCTGAGAAAATTAGTTGACAAATATTCATTCAGTATTCGCTATCACTCTTTTCATTCAATTCACAAAATTTTTCAATAATTAAATTATTTGCAAAATAATCCATATAATGTGTGACAATTTTCCGTATCATTTTATTATTGCTAGCTAGCAGAAGTTATAAAGTCTTAGTGGTGTAGACTGCTCGAATAACTTGTTTGGGAATTCCCGAGAAAGCGCAACATTTTTTTATTCGAGAGTTGTCATTAAAGAGAAAAAATGGAGTTATAGTTTTCATATCAAAATCAAAGAGAAACCGAAATATAAAGTTTTTGCAGATCAATTTATCATTTAAGTCGTAAAAATATTAATATTTCTTATTCCTTTCGATTTTTCGAAGCATCTTTCTTCATTCATATTTGCATATTTGCAGAAACTTAGGTTGGATAGAAATTGCACTCGGTATACTTGGCATTGCTGATAGTGCTTTGTACATTCCAACTTTTCAAATGTCGATTGATACACTGCGGTGATTTATTATTTCAATTTAAACTTTGAACTTTATGAAGCTTTGTTTTGTTATTAAATTACCCATATCAACAAATCATTCAAATCTAATTTATGTCAATTTTTCGAAATTCCCTTCACCAATTACATTTTGAACTCAAACTACGCAAATATTTCAATTCCTATCACTCCGATCAAGAAACGTATATCAATTTAATACTTGGATTAACGTGAAAAAAAGTTCTTGTAGTATTTCGAAATTTTTTTGACATTGATCCATTTTTCGTTTAAAGTTCAAAATGTTTTCATCGCAAAAATCTTATTGCAGTGAATATAGGTACGATGAATCGGTGCAAACATATGGTTGTATATCAGGTTTATTTCAATCCGCCTATTCTTTCGGGTAAGCAAAATTGTACCATTTTTTTTTTTTTGATAGACAAGTTAAAAAAAGTGTTTGAATGAAATTTTGAAACAAAACTTTCCTTTAGATCATTTTTTGGACCAACACTTGGTGGTCTATCTGTACAATGGATTGGTTTCCCGTGGACAACAACTATTATAGCTTTATTAAATGTTGTCCTTGTTAGTTTTTTATAAATTTTTACAAAATTGAAAGATATCTAAGAAAATCGTCATCAAATTTTACTGGATGCAAAGTTATGTGAATACATACATTTAATTTTTTTTCTTGAATTCTAGAAATACAAATTTTACAATTCCAGGTTGTTGCAATTCCATTATTTTATGCAACATATGGCAGGTTCGGTCTTTGTACTCGATCGAAAATCATATCATAATCACTAATTTCATCTTTTCGCTTAGTAAATGATTGTTATGAGTGATATCGTCTATCATTTACGTAATAAAATGCTTAATTTTCTAATTTGTCGATTCAAGCAATTTACAATCTTCTTTTTGCTTTCTTATAAACAAATCAACAAAAATAGAAATTATAATTTCCAAAATAAAAAAAAAACACCAAATAATTATTGATTGTAATAAAATTGAAAACCAGCGAAAACATGCAATTTTCAAATACAGGAAGCATAATGAGAGAGTAAATTTACTGGGAATATCAAAAATTAATAATCACAAAGTATGGATAATCGGAAATTGTAATGACGATACGTGAGACTATAGTCATTGCAACTTCCAATTATTCATTTTTTTTTAAATATTTTCTATTTTATTTTAATTGTTTTGTTTTTATTCTGATTTGAGAGGCCGAAAAATGAGAGAATCACAATTTACAAAAATGATAAAAGAGTTTGTAAATTGAAAAAAGAAAAAATTCCAAAATTATCAAAATAGATGAAATTTTAATGAAATTTCAGTGCTAAGAGAAAATTAGCGCTGCTCAAAATTCAAAATAAATTTCAATGGCAACGATATCAATTGAATAAGAACTGTTATATTTGACAATGCTTGTAGTAATAATTCATACTGCTTGTTAGACATTATCTAAAATTCAGGTGAAGTGAGGGAAATAATTTTTATTTCAAAGCCATGTATGGTTTATTTATTTTAACAGATAACCAATTAAAAACTTCGCTGAAATGAGCTCAATATGAATTTAAAATTCAATATTCAGTTAAATTTAAACTGGAATTCTTTTGATCATGTTTTAAATTGCACCTCAATCCATCCTATCATGCCAGCTACACTCTTCATCTGTCAAATACTATCATCACAATGAATTTTTTTACAGCGTTGACAGTAAATTTAAAATTTACTCTTAGAAAATATTCGTTGCAAATATTGTATTATTTAAGAAATGCTTACTAAGAATTAAGCAATTGAAAAACTTAAAAATATTGTATCATTTTGATAACATACTATTATTCTGTTTAGCTTAATCTTTTAGATGTTTACGCTTTGATTGCAGAACGTTTCGATCATATTTTCATTTGGTTGTTAATTAATGAGAAATATTTTTTTTGCATGTCAAAAATAGCGGCAATATATAAAAAAAGTTAATATTTTTTCTTCACTTAACATTTCTTCAATATTCGTTTAAAATTTAAAATTTAAAATTTCATTTTCTTTTGCAAAAAATTCATGTTAAAAGATTTTTCTAAGACTTTGTTTTGATAAAGATGAAAAATTATTACGTAACATTTTTCCCTTCATTCAGAACAATTAAAGTTTCAGAGGATCTTATCAGTTCGTATTTCTGTTTTTCCTATCACTACATTTCACTTGTCTTAACACTCTCGAACTATGCCTTCCACTCTTATCGTCCAATTTATGCTTTTTCTATCGAGCAGACAAACAGGCATAGCAAATAAGAATAAATAAAATCCAATCAACAATATTGATTACAACATTTTAATGAATTAATCCTTCATTTCATATTTGGAATTGTATTCTATTTTATGCATTACAAAATTTCTGCTGATACTATTACGACATTGATGATCATAAAAAATATGAGCCTAAATAATTGGACAATCATATGAATACAAGCCAAATACATTTGAGATAACTGAAAATAACATCTTTCAAATTCAATCCAAAGATTTTTAAATACGAAACTTCTGGTATGATATTTAAAAAAATGTGATTTTTATGAAGTATTTATGTTTTCATGAAATTAAATATACTCATTCATATCCACCAGTTCATTGTACCAGTAATTACTGCATCTGTTCTCGTTATCACTTTGTGGCAAATTTAAAGTATAATTGTTTATTTGCTGAAAAGACTAAATTTTTTAAATACGATAATAAGTAGAAGGAAATTAGCATTGAAAAAGGGAGAGAAAATGTGATTTTACACTCAAATTCAATATAAACATTTCTCTTGCTTACTGATTTCTTCAGTTGACGTTACAATAGTTATAACGAAAAAAATTTTATAAAAATTTCTTTCCCTTTTTATTTCTTCCAATAGTTGAAGATTTAAAAATTAGTGCAAAAAATTTTTTGCAATGTTCGTTTACTTTCCGTTTCCTCTCTTTTTCATTTAAATTTAAACTTGAATGCCTGAAGTTTATCAACATTTTGCTAGTGGGAAGAGGAACAGTTGCAATACAAGCGCTTTTGAACAGATGCTTACAAGGAGGTTGTTAGCATTAGAAGCTAAAAGATGAAGAAGAAAAAGTTTGCAGCACTTCATTGACCCGATCATTCATTCTTATGCTCTCCGTCTCTTCTCTTTCTCTCTCTCATTCTTATTACCTTTCTACTCTACAGAGTTTAACATTGTACCATAACATTGCTATCACAAAAGATAGCCATTTCCACCTTCCTCATTTTATCCATCATCAATCCCTTCCCAGTAATCGATTATCCTCAGCACTTAAAATTTTCTGTTAATTTTATTTATTTCAAATTATCATTAATAACATGTCTAGAGCAATGTTTGATTATGCTATTTGATGAATTATTAACTGCTTAATTTTAAACCAAGTTTTAAATTCAAAAAAAGTGATCAAATTATGAGGCAGATAGGGAAGAATAGCATTTTCGTTAATATAAATCAATGCATTCTTTGTTAATAGCATTCAAAATTTTATCAAATAGATTTCTTATGATCTAAAATAGTATCCATAATTTAACATCTGAATTCTTTTAAATTTCCATTACTATTTCTTGAAAAGAGTCTAAAATGTTTCACAACTCAAAAATAATACAAAAAGTAGAATAGAAATAAAAATTGATTTAATTGAATATAAACTTTGTGCAAGAAAAATGCTTTCAAAATATTTGATACTGTATTATTAAATTTCAATTTACCTCATATTTGATGGAATTTCAAATTTGCAACAACTTTCTATAATTGTTTAAAGCATGAATGTTTTCAAGATTGCTGTGAGTTCACATGCTAAAAACCCCAACCAGCGAAATCTTATTTCAATTTTCTGCCTAATCAATGCTTTTATGGTGTCTAATAAAGGTATTGAGTAAAAAGA